CTGCACAGCCAGTTGCAACCCTACGCTCTGCTTTAGTCTACAAACAGCAGCTGGCCCATAAAGATATACCCTCACGTTCGGTTCCGTCTGTGAACCTGATTGTTCTACAGGTAACGAGACTCTGCTCGTCTTCCCTTTTTTCTTTTTCTTTGGGGGAAAAGAAAAAAAAAACGGTTTCCATTTGTCAAGATCACATTGAATTCCAATTCCACTTCTAAAATGTCTGCAGTCTCCTCCAACCCTGCTTTATAGCATCTACAAATTTAATAAGTGTACTGTTTATTCTATCATCCACATCATTAATGAAAATATTGAAAGGTACAGGAACAGCATCACGGACTGTGCACAACGTCTAAGTAGGCAGCATGTCAATGTTTTCGTCTGTTTGTTTGTTTGTTTAAGACCAACCCCTACTTTAGTCTGTAGCTTATTAACGTCATTCTTTTTCCAAAAGTCGCAAATCATAGCGCACCAACATGGTTAACAGTTTCCTAACTAGGGAGGCCTCGATTTTGTCTTCAGCCTTAAAAACCTATTAAATTCTCTAGTCTCCTATTTTATTTCTTTCACTCACTCACAGAAAAGCATACAAAACCTCCAAGAGGTAAAACATATTTGTGTGCTGTTTCCCACGCTTGCAGTAAGTATTTTTGTATTAACGTACATATACGTAAAAAGTACTACCGTTAAGTCCTAAGCTTCATGTTTTTTTTCTTTTTGCTGTGGTATCGTTTTATCTAGCAGCTTGTTTGAGGATGACAGAAAACACACAGCTCTGCATTTACCTTCACAGCAGCTGTTAATTCAATCTCTCCTATTCTATAAAATCCAATAACGAGATAGCCACACAGCAACAATTTAGTAAGAGCATGACTTACAGCAACAACGAGCAGATGGCTATCTAGCAACACTAACAAAATTTGTCTTGTTTATACATTTTAAATATGCAAAATCGACAAACTACGCATGCAATCTGTGTGCACAGAAGTCTACAGATACCACTGTTAGTCTCCACTCTGTCTGTCTGCACTCCCATTTGTTTCTCTACCAACCTGTTGGCTTCCACCTTACTGCATGTGGTTTGACTATAGCCAAACTGACTTAATGACTTGCTGCCACAGTAAAGGACGATCCCGTTTGTCCTCCCCCCTTTCCCAGAGCAAAAAGCTGCTCTTTTTCCAACAATTTACCCCACTGAAGCAGCTCACGTGCAGGTGAGGGGAAGATCAGAGAGTCCCTGTTTGTACAAGGAAGGCCGCAGACTCATGACCAGGAGTGGGAGCAAGGAATTAGCCCTTGCTGTTCTCGCTAATCAGCTTAGCTTTACTGTCAAATCATACACTAAAGTTCAGCTCCTTTACACCGTTCCATATGAAGCCCCGTCTCATCCCCAGTGACTTAATCGCTAAAAGCAGTGACTTTTTTTTTTTTTTTTTTTTTAAAACAATGCCTTATACAAGAGATTCTTAATTTCAGTGGAAATTCTGGACATAACTACAACTATGTCAGCCCAAATAATAAGTAATACATGATAACAAGTAAAAACCTGAAAAACTTGACTTGCTACTTTACTATTTTTCCCAAAGCATAAGAAAAAAAATCACTAACTGTCTTATTTTGCTCAGTTTGATAAAGTAATTTACAACCAAAGATAACAAAAAAGTACACGAATCGGAAGGTGAATTGACGCAATGCTATAGAGTAATGCTCAAATTCAAAGGGGCTGCAAAGGCAACAGAAAATTCACCTACTTGCTCAGCACTAAAGCAATCCTCTCAGAAATGACTTAATGCTATAGTTTCTTAAA